TCCTGATCCTAAATCCTATATGCATGGAATGAAACCTTATCAAATTGAGCAAGACTTACTTCCACTTAAGCATGCTTAGGACTACTTATTGTCAATATATGTGCCCTTAATACTCAGCAAAGCTACAGCAGAATGTATGCGCTACCATCCAACCATGTTTGTGTCACACTGGGGTGCAGTGTGAATGAATTTCAGTATCTCAGTGGGGACCTTCAACAGAACATGGAAGCTGGCTGCTGCAGTTGAAGGGTTATTATGATTGTTTACCAGGAAAATCTGAAGAAGCTGTAATGAAATGGCAGAACAACTGCGGACCTCTGTAATTACAGTGGGCCCTTATTTTCCACTGGACCCTCCATGGATGCCAAAATCTGTGGATGCTCAAGTCTCATTAAATACAATGGAATAGCAAAATGGTGTCCCTTATAAAAAATGGAAAATGAAGGTTTGCTATTTGGAATTTATACTTTTTAAAAAATATTTTCAAGCTGTGGATACTTGAATCCATGGATTAAAAAAAATCCATGGATAAGGAGGGCCAACTCTATATGTCTCACAATTCTACAATTGTTTGCCTGATAGCAGTGGCTTCACTAGGGGGAGTGAATCACACCAGGTGACACGCTAAGGTAGAGTGACACCACTGCTCTAGAAACATCTGCCTTTGAGCAGAAATGGGCTGTGGTGTTTGCCTGTGTCACTTTAAAATGCTGAAGAGATGGCGTGAGTGGTTTGAAGCTTAGTGGAGGGGAAAAGAAGAGGCCCCATTTTTAATTTTTTTTTTAAAAAAATCATTTTAAAAAATTATTTAAAAATATCACATTTTATCAATTTTATGTTTCAACCACATGAAACTATGCATATGTAAATACATTTAAGGTGTGCATATGATATTGTGATGTAAAGGTATAATTTTAATTTTGCTACCTACTTATGTCACAACTATTACCATTACATTCAGTAATATACAAGAATTACAATTAATGAGTAACATTAGTTTTAAAAAAAGCATTACTAAGGATTCTGTATGGTGTGAAATGAGCCTCCTGGGTGACGCCAAACTTAGTGATGCCACTGCCTGATACACCCTGCAAACAATGATTATAATTATTCTCATAAGAAAAAAATTGTCTCTATAACAGCCCAGCTTGAAACTAAGCAGCATTTTACATGACCTTCATTTTACTCATTCTGACAAGCTGTTGTTTATTGAGTGTTCCTGATACTACTACAAGCATCATAATTATTCTTACAAGAAATTTCCCTGACTCTACAATAGTTTAACTTAACCAAGTAGTGTCTATGGACTTAACACTCTATATATGAGTTGTTCTTTGTTTTGCTCTTTATTTATATTATGAATAAATTATTGCTTTTTTGTAAATTACTGGCTATATAATTATTTGCAAGGAACATATTCTATTACACAATTATGAGAGAAAGATATTGTACAATGCATATTGTACACTAATTGACAGTTGGGTACTAAGACTATTTCTGCACTGCCTTTACGTAGGTTTATCATAAAACTTATATCTTTTCTAAATGCCTTACTGTATATTACTAGTAATCTTATTATATACACTTGTAGATTATATTGATCATCACACTAGTAATATGATGATAGAGTAGCATTATATATAACTTGCTACATAATTGGGACTTTCAGAGTATCATTATACCAGGATTGTTAGCATTTATTTATTTGTTAGCATTTAGTTCTCCAATTAGTTCTCACTAATCCCACCCACCATGGACACTGGTCTAGAATGCTTGGAGTTGTAGTCCAAAAGTCAGTAGAAAACCTGGTTTGGGCTAATTAATATCAAGTGTGGCATCATGAAAGATTTCTTCTTTTCTTCATAGAGTGAATTCAAATGATCAGTGAGAAAGTCCATGATGTTGGTGATACACTGCAGAGAATTCTACTTGGAACTGAAGTTCAAAGTTTAGAGAACAAAAAGGGAAACCAGGCTTCACAATAAAACAGGGACCTAATCCAATTCTAGCCTCATTTACAGTAAACCATCTCTCCCCATACATACCTGCAAGAACACTAAGATCTTCAGGGGAAAGTTTTTTCTCAGTCATGGCACCTTCACAGGCTGAATTGATGATGATATTCAAGAAAACTTTCTCAGTTACCCTCTGGAACTCCCTCTCATTGGAAGTTAGGCTTTCATTGGAAAGCAGACATTTTTATTTAAGCAAGTTTGTAATGGTTAAAGAGGGAAGGTTCCTATTTAGATGTATGTTATATCTGTTTTCTGTTTTTAACTTTTGTATGGTTTTAAAATGATTTTATAGTGTTTAATGTGAGGATTTTAAATTGTTTTACATTTTTTATTGTGAATGTTTTTAATTTGTTATCTCTGGAAGCTGCCTTGGGTCCCACTCTGGGAGGATGGGGGCATATAAATGAAGAAAATAAAGAAATAATCACAGATCTTGGAAGTAATGAGTTATAAGTAATAGCAGATAGTTTACATTGACCACTTAGTTACCGATGTATAAATAATTAATATCCCCTGGCTCAGCCCTTCATACTGGATCAAACAAAGGTCTGTTCAGCTGCTCATCAGGACACAAAATGGACGTATATCCAAACTCTATCACCAGTGACTGAGGCTCCAATACAGATTGTGACATGAATCCTACTTCTGATTGTCACAACCTCAGTCATTGGTGGGAGACAATTGGAAATGTCATTCTCCTTGAAACCCACACCCAGATTCTCACTGTTAAGGTGGGCTGGGAGGGCTTTTGCACAGTCTTACAGTAACACTATTTAGTCTTACTTAATATGGAATGGATAATGACTTATAACTCTCAGTTACAAATTCATAGCTGCAATATTAAATGCCAGCCAATGTAGTTGCCTATAACAAGTTATTTTTCCTTCTTGATGTCACTGGCATAACAAATTTAGATTTTAAAAAAATTACCTCAAAGAATGGGGGAAGATTATTTATTGCTCTAATAAGAAGGTTTTCAGTTATAGTAATTTTAGTAGGTGTTTAAAGGCATTTTAGAAGCATTTTGACTCCACATGTTTAGGTTTTATGCCATCCTCCTACTAATCCTAACAATTTATTCTAAAATAAAAATCAGCTAAAAATGATGAACATACTGAATAATGCAAGAAATAATGCACCAATTGATTCCTGAAAAAATATGAAGGCTAAAACTTGTGTAAATCTTATTGACCCAATAACTATTATAGTTTGAACTAAAAATTAGAGTTAGGCCAAGATCTGACTAAGGCAGGAGTGGAATGGTGCACTTCTCCAAGTGGTGTGAGAGTGCAACTTTCAGCAGCCCCAGATAGTATAGTAATAGGAGAAGAATGTTGGGAGAAACCGATCAAGATCATGTGTGAATGTGTGATCAAAGCAAAAAGAAAAGCAAACCAATATGCTAGTGCTTAGCATATCAGAGTTAGGCTGGTAGAACATACTAACCAAAATCCAATTGAGAGTTAAGATTTGGAAACTTTGCAGCATAATCAAAGTCAGAGGAAGAAAGCTATATCTTTTTGATTGGAAAGTGAACAGAATCTGAGAAGACTTCCACCCTCATGAGAAATGGAAATTATAATGCTTTAATATAGTTTTTTTAAACAACCCTGAAATTCTTTGCTTGTTAGACTTGCTGAGTAAGCAAGTAGGCATCCTCTTATCTTCCCTTATATGAATCTTATTAAGATAAGAGTCTGACCATGTGCTAGAGACTATGAGCCAGTTATGGCTTTGACTGCAAAGGGTTAGAATTGGGAATACAAATACACACACAAGCCCAAATAGACATAGCTAAGAAATGTCACTACTTTCCAAATTGGCCATTGCTCATTTGTTGATTCCACACTGGGCAGGTTGGTATTGCAACTATTTTTGAAACCAGGAAGATAATAGTGAAAACACACGAATACAACAATCTGCACTTAATATCATCCGAAAGAGCCCTAAAAGGTGAGTGAAGGAATCACAACTATTCCACATAAAGGAAAGGGAAGAACTGCATTAAACACAAAGAATGGAGTGAAAGAGATGCAAATCCTCAAATGGTCCTTGAAAGTTAACTTGAAAAGGTGAAACTTTTAGGTACACGAATATTTTTTTAGCCTTTCTTTTTTCATTTGCTACTTAAGTTAATGACCAGAATCCTGTTGGGGACTCATGTCTGAGGGAATTAGAATTGGCCAGTTTCATAACGTCCACATCTAGGAGAGGGGTGTTGTTACATTACTATGCAGCAGAGTTTGTGAAATGTCAATGCACATTCCAAAACAGTGCACATTGCACAGTGATGTGCACTGTGAACTGATGAATATCTTGCTGGGGTTCCCAATACACATCTTTCCAATTCACTAACAGGATGGCTTAGCACCTCTGCTGCTTAGCTAAGTATATATAAAGTTACATTGGGTAAACAGTAATATAGGAATCCAGTAAATATTCATGAAAAAATAATTCCAGACAAAACAGCTAGTGTGGAAACAAAAGGTCACAATCCCATAGAAGATATTTAATTATGGAACTGCTTCTGCCAGTAGAATTGGGAGGAAGGCATCTTTTCTTAGCAATAGCAAACAATAGCAAGTACATTTCTATAATGCTTATCTGTGCACTTAAGGACTTCCTAAGTGGTTTACAATGTGTAAGCTAATTGCCCCTAACAAGCTGGGTACTCATTTTAGTGACCTACAGAAGGATGCAAGGCTGAGTGGTCCCTGCCTGGCACCCTGCCTGGGATCAAACTCACAACCTTGTTGCTGTGAATGGCTGCAGTACTGGCATTTAACTACTATGCCACCAGGACTCCTTTTTTTCCAATTACATCTTCCCACATGCCCCCCACAACTGCCTCAGAAATCCTACAGAGGTAATTTTTGAGTGGCATTATGGAATTCAGTGGAGGGGAAGAAAAGCCTGTCATGTTGGTGCTACAGCACCAGGACAATACTGCATTTAACCCAGATGTAGTCAAAAAAGAGCGATCCTGGTGTTGTGGCTCATGGTGGAGTGGTTTGAGTGTTGGACTATGACTCTGGAGACCAGGGTTCAATTCTCAGCTTCATCATGGAAATCTATTAGGTGACCTTGGGCAAGTCACATGATCCCAGCTTTAGGGGAAACAATGGCAAACCTCTTCTGAACAAATCTTGCCAAGAAAACCTTGTGTGGTCACCATAAGTTGGAAATGACTTGAAAGCACGTAACAACAACAAAGTCATAAAATATGCAGGCCATTATAATGAAGCAGTTTCTGTTTTCAGGATACTGTGTATATACAACAGACCCTTGGTATCCCCTGGGGTTTGGTTCCAGGACCTCCTGTGGATACCAAGATCAGTGGATATGCAAGTCCCATTAAATATAATGCTGGTATGGTAAATTGGTGTGCCTTATATAAAATGACAAAATCAAGGTTTGATGTTTGGAATTTATATTTTAAAAAAATATTTTCAAGCCATGGGTGGTTGACTCTATGGATATGGATGGCCAACTGTAATTGCAGAGTAGCTAATAAAACAAGATATAGGGCCTACTGTCCTTGCCAATTCTTTCTATTGCAGACCGATCAAAAGAAGATATGTAACTACAGTACATGCAAAAGAAACAGGGCCAATTATTCTGACACCCCTTATTTCACTGAAAATCTAGTAAATATAAACAACTGATATTATCTCTTTCATTACTTAGGAAATAAAATTTAATGAGAAAACAATTCAAAGCTTTGAACAGTCATTAGAATTCTTCAAGCATATTCCTGTTTCTAAGAGAGCAGTGAAGTTGAATATTTTTAAGTGTCAGAGATACAATAAATAGCAGATGGTTCAACAGAAGCACACACATATATAAATGGTCTCAGTTGATTCCATAAGCATTCTGAACAAGCTTTACAAATCCCAAATCCCAAGCTTTACTACTTCACAAATAAAAATATAAATATTTGTGTTATGGCATTTTCAAGGTTTTTAGCTTTGGATAAGAACAAGAAATATAAATGAAAAAGCATCCATTTATTTCTGAAGAGAGTCCATTTATTTATAGTTGTAGGCTTCCCTCACATCACCACCTTTTCACTATTCAGTGTAGATATGAATTCTGCACTTCACTGTTGCCATTCTGTCCTAATGGTGTATTGTGGTTGCTTTATTGATTGGTTTCGTTGTGATAACATCAAGTTTATCTGATGTCCACCCCTCATTTTCAAAACCAGGGTTGGTCGCCTAGTGCACTCTCATGAAGGCATGCACCTCCTATTTTGTTCAACTTAACTCAGCCTCAGCCATTATGGCAACTGGTAAGGGATTATGGGAGTCATTGTTCAAAACATTTGGAGAATACAATATTACTTTCCATTGTTCTAAAACTTCAAGAGTGGGCAAAATGAAGTTCCCCATAGCCCTTAACACCCCTCCCACCAGACTCTCCTGAACAGCTCTTTTTCTAGTCTCAAAATAAACTGGCTCTCCATCAGGAGTTAAAGATGTAAATATTCAAATACTCATAGGATCATACAGTTGGAAGGGACTACAACTGCCATCTTGTCCAGTACTCTGTCATGCAGGAAAACACAACTGAACCATTCCTGAGAAATGGGCATCCAACGTCTTTTAAGAGACTTTCAAAGGTCAATCCACTGCCCTCCAAGGAAATCTATTCCACTTTCAAACAGCTCTTCCTAATGCTTAGAACAAATCTCTTTGGCTTATGTTATAGTCTCTGGGCCAGCAGAAAACAAACGGAGGGCCTTTGCAGACTGCCAGAAATAGTGCACATTAAATTGAGGCACTGCCCTGGCTCAGTGTTAGGGAGTCATGGGAATTGTATTTTTTTCTGAGACATTGAGCCTTCTTTGTCAGAGAGCTCTGGTGCCACAATAAATTACAGTTCCCATGATTCCCTCAATTTAATGTGCACTATTTCTGGCAGTCTGCAAAGGCCTTCACTCCATCTTCCACAAGGTATCCCTTCAGACATTTAAGGATATTTGACTATTTTGTCCTGAGAAGTGAGGCTGAATAATTTATGCAGTTTTTTTCCCTACTCCAGAGAAAATAAATATTTCTGTACAGTTTTTGTCCAATATTTCTACCTTCGAAATTCTTTTGGGGAAATGATCCTGCACTAAAATAACATGCAGGGGGTGTTGCATGTGAATTGTGTTTGTGCGTGCTCTTGTCAAACACACTCATACACATACACATGCACAAACTGTTTCCAAATTGTGTGTGTGTGTGTGTGTGTGTGCGTGCTGTGCATGATGGTTGCATTATTGTATCAGAATCCAGCAATAATGCTCACACAAAAATAGCCATATAGGGTTTTGTGCAAGATTGCTTTACTTTTTGTGCAAACCTCAACACTCTCTGGGTGATCTTGGACAAGTCACACACTTTCAGAATCCCAAAAACCCTGTGATAGGGTCACCTTACAGTTGTCATAGGTCAGAAATGTCTTGAAGGCAAACAACAACAACAATTATTTCAATATCTATCAGGAACAACAATCCATATTTTAAGTATACCACTCCCTATAAACACGTACATTGTTTAATGGGAGGGGGGGGGATGACTGTTTTCGAAAAACTATTGGTGTACTCTGGCCATTTCCAGGGTTTTTGTTTTGTTTTAAAAGGAAGGACATGCAGCCAAGGTTTGCGGGGGGGGGGGGGGGGAATTGGCACTCTAGCCTATTACAGTTTTGAAATATCTTCTTCTTTATAATAATTCTACTCCCTTTTACCATCTAGGTTGTCTAGTCTCCAATTATTTTGTGTAGGTTAGACTGAAGAGATGCAAATTTAGAAATTTTATATTATATCATATTACTGATCTTCAAATAGGAATATACATATCTGACCATAGTGGAAAGGGCCATGACTACCTAAGTGCCTGGGTGTCTGTTCAGTATGCTGTCCTGATGATAACTGATGGGCAACTTGAAGATTTATTGTCTCTTTCTAAGGTTCTCTTTATTGTTCAACCAGAGTTGAACTGGACAGTCCTTCAGGATTCCTTCAAGCACAGGACTGATATTATTCTTCAGCATGCCTGCACTCTAAACAGTGGAGCACCTGACTTGTTTTCTGCTTTTCTGCTACAGAAATCAAAATCTTTATTAAGTTTCGAAAGAAGCAAAAGATATTTAAAGCAGTAAAAACAATTCTTGAAAGTGTGTAAATCAATTTCAGTTTCAGCCTAGCCATGTAAAAGCACACATAAATACAAAGTTCTCTGCCATTAAAAGAGACTTGTTTATACTTTCCAAGGAAACATGAAGGATCTGCTGCCTATAAAATCTGAGTGAAGTCAGCAGAATCAAAAAAGAAGAGAAGGAGGCATGATCAGAGGCATAGTTTGGTCTACCAATCCCATGGAGAAAAAGCAAAGCCAGGATAAAGTGAAAGTTGATCTGTCAGAGGTGCTCAGGGAGAGAACAAAAGAGAAATTTTATTAAACTTTCACTGAGAAATCTAACAGTTGAAACACATGATGATGAGCTAATGAAGGTCAAGCCATGACTTCTTTTTCAAAATATCACAACTTAATTTGTAGACAGGAAGTACACCTGTTAGATGTCAGCTGATGGTTTGAGAGGGGGAGAAAATAGGTGAGAAAATACAGTGTCATCAAAACATCCCCCCCCCCCAAAAAAAACCTTTTATGGGGTGCAATAAAAGATAATGGAGTCTGCAAGCAAAATGTTTTCCAAGAAACACTCAGCAAATTTATGAACCATATTTGCTATACAATTACTGAGGGTAGATTAAAATTAGATAGATAATTAAGGTGGAAAATGTGTCTCAAGAATATGAAAGTCGATTTTGTGATAATAATACAAGGAATGGATTCAAGGAAGGCTTTGTTGGAAGAAATTAAGGTATCTGGGGCATGTTCTGGATTTAAAGCGAATTATGATAGCCCTATTTAAATATTTGAAGGAATGTCATATTGAGGAGGGAGCTAGATTGTTTTCTTCTGCTCCAGAGAATAGGACTTGGAACAACGGAAGCAAGCTACAGAAAAAGAGATTCTTAACATTAGGAGAAACTTCTTGACAGTGAAAGCTGTTTGACAGTGGAACACACTTCCTCGGAAAGTAGTGGAGTTTCCTTCTTTGGAGGTCTTTAAACAGAGGCTGGATGGCCATCTGTCAGGGATGCTTTGATTTTGAGCCCCTGTATGGCAGAATGGGGTTGGACTGGATGGGCCTTGTGGTCTCTTCCAACTCTATGATTCTATGATGTAACAAAACTGTTGACTAAAAACATGACCTTAGAAGAGGAAAATGAATTGATTGCTCTTTCCAATTTTAAAGTAGAAATATAGTGAATCAAATATTTGGGTGTTACAATTACAGAGAACAACAATTTATTATTTCTGAATAATTTTGAAAAAATGTCTGGAAAGGAATTAAGTGAAATTTAGAAAAATGGGGGGGGGAGGGAGGAATTAAAATGATCTCTTATGGGGTGAATCATAATAATAAAAGCAAATTTTTTGCCAAGACATTTATTCTACTTTCAAATGATTCCCATCATAAGAAATGGAATATCCTTTGTACAATGTCAGAAAAATTTTTACAGATTTGTCTGGCAAGCAAGAAAACCCAGATCAAATTTAAAACACTGTACAGTTGTCCCTCCACATTCATGAGGGTTTGGGGCATAAGACCTCCATGAATGTGGAAAAATCACAAATAACTTCCCCCTCTCAGGAAGCTAGTTAAAGGGATGGGTGGGTGGGGAAAGAGGAGCAGGATCATGTCCACTCCTTCCCCTGCCCTCCCATCCCTTTACATGGCTCCCCACTCATTTCCCAGGCTTATAGCTGCCTTTCCCCAGGCAGCTCTCCATCCTGGAAAGGGATGGCGGATCAGCCCTCAAACAGAACAGAAGAAAGGCAGCTCTCAGTCCTGGAAAGGGAGAGGGTTGGTGCACACAACTTTTCTGGCTGTTTCCTCCCTCCTGGGCTTTTTTTCCTCCAAAGGAAAAGCCCAGGAGTGAGAAGGAGGAGGAGGAGTGTGTGTGCAAGTGGTGGCCTTGACCTTGAGAATGATCAAAATTGCAAG